TTCCACGAAAACTCTCCCGAAAGTTTGATATAAAATATAAGAAGAATTATGATATAGCGAAAAGTTCTAATTATCAACGATTCTTCTACCTTGAAATACAATGGTTATTCTTCCTGTACTGGTAATGATTGTACTTCTTACGAGGGAACATCTCCAATTGTGAGTCTCAGTTTTAACACTTGTTGAAAACACTGTTTTTCTGGGGGGACTTCCATTTTGGATCCCTTTCGTCTCCAACCGACTTGCCTATTATCTGTTACCATCCATTCAAGGTGTATTCGTTTTGATGTGGACAAGTAAGTGTACACATCTGTGTCCATCGTATTTTTGAGCTTGCTTTGTCTTATTTGTAGTTATTGCCATACTGGCTCTAAAAAATGCACTTATATTGTATCTAAATCGGTCTCGCAATTTCCGTTAGCTGGAAACATAATAGTGGAAACAATGGAGCATTTGACACACATATTCCTGATTGAAATACAAGTCTCGCGACTCGTATTGTATTATTTATTTTAAAACGTTCTTAACAAATGAGATAAAAGATAAGATATAAGATGTCAATCTGTTAGCGCTGCTACTCTGAGCAGTAAAGCATCCAAGATCTTGCCATTCTACCGGTGCTAAATTGATAATTCCATATTTGGTTGCAATTTCATTTTGCCATGTCAAATTGGTTTGACCAGTGTAATATAGCGGTGCCACCTCGTCCAGAAAACCTTCCAACCCTGACGGAGTCAATAGAATTTGTATTCTCACCGGTTTTGTACCATTGTTAATGTTATGTATACGAATGGCTTGTGCCACATTTCGCGGCACATAAACATAGTCACCAGTTGAACCACAAAATTGTTCTCCATTGACAAAGAATTGCACATTTCCATCAATAATATGAAACAATTCATCTTCTCGAGTATGAATATGCTGACCGGGACCGTCGTCCAAATAATCAGCTTCGAACAATGTAAATAAGTCACGCGTTTCGTTGCCACGAAATTTATATTTGAATACAGAATTTGGAAATGGGAGTGTGTGAATAAATTCACTCGAATTGGATCGAACAGCCAACCATTTACTGTCGTTTATTCCATTCACTTTCTGTCCCCTAATCACACTAAGAAGTACAACCATTACCAGTACAGGAAGAATAACCATTGTATTTCAAGGTAGAAGAATCGTTGATAATTAGAACTTTTCGCTATATCATAATTCTTCTTATATTTTATATCAAACTTTCGGGAGAGTTTTCGTGGAA